GGGCACGGAGGGAGGGACACACACACAGACACACACAGAAGATGCAAAGCCCATCTCTATTAACCCCAAAGTGGTTTTCAGGGCCTGTGGGAGAGCTCAGCCCTCTGTCCCTGCAGCAGGGAGGGCAGGGCACCAGCAGGGATGGAAACCTCCATGGCTGCACCTCAATTCCACGGGAAGGGATGAACCCCCATGGCACAGGGGTGTAATCCAGCCTCTTCTGCTCCTTCCCAGAGAGGCTCACAAGTTGCCAGCTGTGCTCAGGCCTTGGCTTTTTGTTAAATAACAACTATAAAAGCCTCATTTTTTCTCTTGCAGCATGCAGCAGCGGATCCATGCTGCCCTTCACCACCCAGCAAAGCAGTGTGCCAGGGCTCAGCTGGAGACACTGGACATTGGTCTCCATCCCAACAATCCACTCCAATCCCCTCCATTCCCTCCCCAGCAATAATCACAATAAATAAATTAATAAAACACGCAACACACACCAGGACAATTAGGAACAGTTTAGGAAAAGGAGTTACAGTTAAAAGTAGAAGGGATTGGATGCAATGTCTTGGATTCTGAAAGAACCCGAGCTAAAAGACCTCCCTCCATGAGCCCAAAGGGAGCAGAGGTCTGTGGAGGCAGCAGCTACAAACAGCACAGGGTTTGTGCTCCCAGGATTTTGTGCTGCTCCGAGGAGTTTCCCTTGTAGGAACGAAAAATTCTGTCCCACCCTAGTGACGCTGCATTTTTAATTGAATTAAGATGTTCATTTGAATGACATAAAAATTTCTTTTGACTGTTTAAGAGGTTTCATTTGAATTACATGTAAATTTCTTTTGACTGGTTCTCTCTATTAGAAAAGGAGGGAGGGGAAAGGTTAAAAAAACCAAACAAGCAACATTTTCAACTAAAAAAGTCACACCAGCTCTCCCCTGTACCATAGAGGCTTCAATTAAACCAGAGCTTCAGTAAACTCAGTAAAGCATTAAGAGTAACAAGTGCACAAAATAACCTCCTCTAAAGAGCTTGAATCTTCAAGAACACAAAGAAAGCTAAAAAATCAAAAGGTCATTGCCATTGGATGAATTTATATCCAAAATTACACAACTCACCTACAATGAGAGAGAAAATCTGCAGTAAAGTGATTAATTAAATTAATTTGCATCTTCCATGACCTCTTAATCCTAATACCAGGGTTCTTTTTATTTGCATAAGCAGGGTAGGAAAGGCAACAAACTGAGTAATTCTAGCAGAGGTGTAACAAAATACAGTTTTCAGTTGGAAGTGCCATCTTCAAAGGAAGGAGCTTCCACCCTTCCATCCAAAAGTCCCCCAGCACCTCATATCTGTCTGTGCTTTCCATAAAGGAAACACAAAGTTCATCTCAAATTTCAAGGAACTACCAGGAACATCAAGAACCACCACTTCAGCCATGAGAGAAGGGGAAAAAAAGGTAATATTTACAGTTTTGATGTCTCTTAAACCAACCAATTCCACAGTTACCAACTTCAAAAGGCAAGCAGAAATCCAGGATGAATCCACCAGAGCTGGGATCCACCACAGGAACACACCAGAACCAGCTTAGCTCTCACTAATTCCGCTTGTGCACACAAAGTTAAAGCTTGCTGTGACATTTTGAGAACTGATTATGGCTCGTGTTGTCCAAAGCCTTGGAGTGCAAGTGCTTCTGGATTAGAAATGCAATCCCAGGTCCTTCCAGCCCCGTGCTCCAGTGGAATTCCCAGTTTTGGACTCCTGTAATAGCAGCACTGCATGATCTGAGCCGTGCCATCCCTGTTAAATCAGAAGCATCACTCTGAAATCCAATTCTGTCCAGAGTGAGCTCTGAATTCTGACTCAGAACATCACAGGAACCAAAATATTCCAATGTATCCTGCAGATCTCTGCCAGCAGGAGAGGGCACACACTACATTTCAGTGGAGAAGTTCTCTTTCATATGGAAACGTTCTCATTTCCAAGAGGGAGTGGAAAAATAACTGCAAAGGCCTTCGGATCTAAATCCAGTCACCAGAGCAAAGGTCACTACAAAAATGTTTTATTCAGCATCAAAACTTTTGGAATTCTTTCAAGGAGAAGAAAAAGCCCAACAACAACAACAAAGGGGCTGAGATTTTTTTTTTTTTTTTTTCCCACTGAAATGTTTCTTCCTTTTTAAACAGGGATACAATTCCCCAGGATTTGGTGAACACCAGTGAATTGTGTCTCCCTCCAGCACACAGCAGGTAAAAAAGTGGGGAGAGAAATAAATAAAGGGGAAATCACTATATTGACGATGGTGTTACAATTGAACTCAATGACCTTGGGGACCTTTCCAATCTCAAAGATTCTGGAATTTTATTCCATGGAAATTCTGTTTCACTTTGCCCACCCTGCTTAGGCAGAGAGCTCTGTATAACACAAAGGTGTTTTTGCAATTCTCCTCTCTCCGTTTTCCTTTTCTCCCTTCTCCAGAGACATGAGACAATGTTACAGCTGGGTTGGTACATGGCAGATTTGTACATTTACCTATCATTTCACACCAGGGAAAAACACCTGTATTTCAATCACTATTTAAAGAAAACCTGTAGTTCATTTTAAATGAACAGCAACCCACCATGAAGGCATCACTGAGCTGAAAATATCACCATATTTATTGATTCACAAGGATGCAAGGTGCACTTCAGACATCACATTCCGCCTGCTGCCGAGTCCCTAAGCAGAGGTGTTTTCCTTTAAAAAAGCCAGATAAAGACCCCTAAATAAATCAAAGCACTGCTGCCCAGCTACTCCAGAGCACACAGGACTCTCCTGGTTTGAAAGACAATTAAAAATTACCCCACAGGGTGCATTTTAGGGGAGTGGAGTGTGCTGTTCAGCTCCTGAGCTGCTGTACTTTGGTGCTGTGGAGGTGTGTGGGGATGACAGACAAGCCAAGGATTTTTCTGTGCATAGCACAACTCTGTTACTTTATTTGCATTGCACGTGTTGATGGAGATGTAGCACACAGGATTACCCCTCACTCCTCAGGCCCTGTTCCACTGGGCGAAGAGGCAGAACAGAAATAACTGTGCAGAAATAACTCTGCCAGAAGGAGGAGTCACTCTCTTGATGCTGCACCACCAGTTAGTGATAGAAAAAAGAAAAATATTTAGCTTTGAGTTTTGCTTCTTTCACCAAGCCAAGCCTCCTCCAGACAGCAGGGCAGAGCAGGGATAAATTCTTCTCTCTGCTACCTAAATCTGATTTAGTGACTGCCTTTAACACTGAATGGAGCAGTTTTATCAGGCTACACCCTGATTTGTTTCCCTCATCTGCCTTCACTGAGCTCCAGAGTTCACCTGGAATAGACACACACACACAGAAAGGGAAGAACCAGCACACAAACAGGAACTGCCAGACTGAGCCTGGAGGATGCTTCCATGCCAAGAGAATTTCTATTGCTGTTAGAAGGGCAGGCAGGAACAAGGCTCTGGGCTCAGAACAAATTAGGAGAGGTCTAGACTAAGTTAGGAGAGGTCTTAGAGCAAAATAGAAAAGGTTGGGACTCACTGAGCACAACAGGTGATTTGTGATGCACATTTTACACACAGTTGTTAGAAAGAAAAACCCTGTCCTCTCTCATGGTTTCCATTTCATTTGACACCAGCAGATCCCAAAGCCCCCCAGGAAGCATCAGAATCTTCATTTTGCATGAGGATAAGCAGCTGGCTCTGGATTACAAATTCAGCTGGGGCAGGAACTGTCCCTGTCAAGGTCTCAATCCAGGGGCAAATCCAGGGCCTTCCACCCCGAGCTGCTTCCCAGAAAATTCAGACTTCGGGCTGGAAAGTTCCCAAATGCACATTCATACCAAGCATCAACACGGCCAAAAATAAGCTCAAAATTTCATAGGAAAGGTCAAGATGGCACATCCAGGACTTCTGCTCCCCAAAGAGCCCATTTCACTGCTCTGGCCCCAAGCACAGCTTGTGAGCACAGGATTAAAAGGGAAAACCATGGAGTAAAGGGAGGAGAACCCATCACCTCATCAGAGTTCCAAAATTATTTAGATTAACTCTGTGATTAAAAAAAAAAATAGCAAAATATTGCAGATCTTTATTCAAACCAGCTTTAATGCTCTGACTGCCAAAACAAGTCCACAAGAAATACTATGAGAAATAAAGCTTATTAAAAAGGAGATGGAGCAGGCCAGACACAGACAGGCATAAAAACTGGCTCCAAAATCAATCCACTCCAGCATCAGCTCTCTTGTAGCATCTGCTTCAGGGAAAAGGAACCCTTTAACAGTTACTACAGAATAATCTGGGGGAAAAGTTTTCATCCTGGATTTTCCTTATTTACTGTTCCCCTTCTGGAGCCCTTGTATGTGTGCTCCTTTCTGAAGCAGCTCTGCCTGGTTTTATTTGCCCTGTCTGAGCCTTGCTGAACTCCAGATTCCAAACCCTTCCATGTCAGCGAGCTCCACAGGGAAGCTTATATTTTCTAAGCTCCCCCCAATACACACAATTTCTACAGTGCCACTTCATGGTTTAATAAACTGCTGTTCTCCCCATTTATGTTGCTGACCTAAAAACTAGCAAAAGATCCTAAACCTGGAACTGAAACCGAGTAATACACCAAGCTGTTCTGCATAAAATTGCTCACAATCCCAAACCTGACAGATTTCATTTTTTGCCTTTTTTGCCTTTTTACTCCTCCTCTCCCCACATTTCTACAAAAATATTGCTCTTTTGTTAAAGAACATTACTGAAGCTACCAGGCTCAAAGCTTTATCTGTCTCAGTAATCCAGTTGGATCCCATCCCTGGTGAGAAGAGAATGTTCCAGGAGCACACATGGAATATATGGTCACAATAAAAACAGAACTTCATTTTTTAAATAAACATAAATTTTGTCAAGGTCCCCAAATGGCAGGCATCAACAGATAACCAGTGAGAAACAATCTCTGATGATTCAAAGTGAAAAGCATCAATTCTGGGATGCTTTGCAGGAAAATGAGAATTCATCTCCTACCTGTCAATGATCACAGGGTCAGATGGAGTCTCATTTCTGTTGCCACAACTTTTCTTCTCACAGCACCGACTGGAGAGGGAAAGAAAATCAAAATTAGAGAACCACTGGGCAGTTGAGAGCAAAAAACCAGTTCAAAGTCTATCAGAAAATCTTCAGCACTCGATGTATGCTTGGAAGAGTAAAAATTCTGCTTTCCAGAAGGGAAAATTAAGGGAATTGGGTGCCTAAGTCCTGGCTGGTTCCAGTTGGAGTTTGGCACTTAGCTCCCTGTAATCTATTCTGAATTACCCAGCCAAAAATGAACAGCAATATGGCCACACTTGAGACTGAGGTGATATTTATAAAGGTCTAATAAGTGATTAACAGATGTCATAATGTCATTACAGGCAGCACCAAATGGGTTATGTGGGGTTAAAAGTCCATCAAAAGGTGTTAGAACTGACTATAAGCAAACTAATGTTTTGGTATATTCCAGTAATATTTTTTTATATTACTGTATTTTTTTATTATTAAATATCTAAGTTTTATATGGTGACTGAAAACTTCAGTGCTCCATGAAAAGTCAGTTTAGATCCTACAAAGGATCTGAAGAGATGTTTTTCAGGTTCACTTTTGCAATCCCATTGCAACTGTTTCAGTGATAAACCCATAAGATTAAGTATGAATTTATACACATTCAACAATAATATTAATTATAATAAATAAGAATAAAAATTTAAAAATCAAGAGACTGTTCATTATTTCCATTGAAATAATCACTGCCGTGGGTGATGCTCCTGCACACACAGTAGCTGAGTACCAGGAGTTAAACAGATTTTAAAAACAGTCCTTGCTCTGAAATCCTCACTTTTAATACTCTGAAGCAACAGAGAAGATTTAAACTGTTTTCACGCTCAGGTTTTTGTTCCAGTCAAAGCCAACGTGGGACAGGAGGACGGAGGCACCCAAAGTTTCAAAAGTCTCTATCAGAAGTCCCACATCCCTCAAAGTCACCACATCAGACTCCTTTCTAGAAGATATTTTCCATATTTTGCAGAGGTTTCTGTTCAAATTTACACATATGGGATGAAGAAATTGCGGTGGGTCTTTGTACAGGGGTGCTGAATACATCTGCAAAGTTCTCAAGCACTCTGAGTATCAGAGCTTTCCAACTGGGGAGCAATTCCAAGTAGAATAAAATAAAGAAATTTCTTTTTTAAAAAGTAAATAAATAAATATTAAAAGAAGAAAAAAATAAAATACTTGAATTCATTAAAGGCAGAATAAAATATCAAAGCAGGGATTTTTTTTCTTGATAAGCCTAATATTTAATTAGAAATGCCTAAAATGAGCATTTAGACAAAAAAAAAAAACAAAAAAACAAAAAAAACAAAAAAAACCAAAAAAAAAAAAAAAAACTCTTTCAGCTATGAAAAATCCCAACATTTCCTTCATTTTCCGGGAAGTTCCTGCTCTGGAATTGCCCAGCCAGATGAGCTGGAAGGAGCAGATCTATTTGAATAACAGCTCTAACTGTTTCAACATTCCTACATTCCCCTTGCCTCAAACCTGCACTTATTCATCGATGCTACTCCTTTTAAAATAAAAGGATACACTAAATATTTAAAAATCCCTGGGGCAGCCCCTGTAGCTGCTGTAAATTGTCATGGCTCCACTGACTTCAGTGCAGCTCTGGTAATTCACACCAGCGCAGAACATCGCCCTCCCTCCCTCTCCCAACTTTATTTTAAGTGCATCTTTTATGGATTTCACTGCCTAATCAGTGTTTAGAAAGCATGGAGTATTTTTATACCAGGAGCCAAGATGGGAGATGCTTCCTAAAGGAGAAAATTATGGTAAAGCCAGCCCCCAAAAAAGCAGAAAATCTTCTCAAAGGAACATCAGTTTGGGATGCACTTTGACATGTCCAATATAGCAACACATGGAAAATAACATTTGGAATAAAATCTTTGCTGCCTTACAGGCCCTTATAATAAAGAAAAAAAAAATTCTGTAGTGATTCCAGGGATGGTGCCACTTCTTGGCAGAGCATTTTAGGATGAATTCTGTGAGATTAAGCACAATGTGGCTGGGTTCAGAAACAAGTGCATCTTGTTTTATTTCTATTTCCACTATTATTGCAGTTCTGAACCTTATATTTGTAATATTCAAATATTTTACTCTAAAACTGTGGTTTGCAGCCAAAGTTCTCCAAATATTTTACTGATATCTACATTCCTATCGCAGTTGGGGAAAGATCTTTGTAAGTGATAGACTTTTTCCCCTTTGACCATGGTACTTTCTGAGCCCAAATATATGAAAAAAAAAAATCTTGAGGGAGAAGAGCCACTTCCAGTGAAGGAATTACTCTTTGCACATAAAGCAGAGTGGGACTGAGGATGTTTCAGCCTAACATTATAGCAAAAATGCCTCTTAAATCTTTAAATCTCCATTTCCAAGGGTTTCACCCTTATCCAAGCAGTAACAATTCCACTTGGTTGGTTTCACAAGTGCTGTCTGTAACAGAATTGACTGGTTCCAATTTCAGTCCAAGCCAAAACCCCCAAACTCTGGTGGTCCAGGATCAAGCCTTCAATGTTCTCTTCAAGCAAATTATTGGCATGACTTCACCAACATTTACATTTCTGCTACAGTGTTGGGCTGGGAACACATTTTACAAGATGCTCATTTGCTTAAGACAAGAATAACAAGGCTTAAGATTATTTTCTACATCTTTTGTTGCTATACTTTCTCCTGTAGTGAGATCTACTTAGTGAAAATGATGGTTTATGGTTAAGAATGGTCCAGAAAAAACTAAAACCAAACCCAGAAAGTTCCCAGAAACAACCCCAGCCCTACAAACTGAGCACCCCAGAAACCTCATGCCAAAGCCAAACTTCCATCCTTTCCCCTCCTCGTACTTGACTAAAATGGTTTTAAAATTCATCCCTCAACTTCCCTCCCCTCACCCCAACACCAAAATTAAAAAAAAAAAAAAATTAAAAAAAAAAAATCTGTCTCTAATTTCAAACTCAAATAAGCTCACAGCATGGTGGCCTTTGTTTTGTTTTCTTCTGCCCAACTCCTCCCTGCAATTGCATAACAAAAGTGTCTAAATTCACACCATCTGGCCGATAAAGACGCGGGCCCCAGTGGCCGCCTGGCCCAGCTGATTAGAGCTCCCGTCTAGTCTGAGCCTTGTGGCGAAAGTCACAGCTGTGGGGCTCGCTCCACTCAATACAACTCTGTTATTAGCCAGCTGTAGACCCTGAGACTACTTCTGTTCGAATTATAATACCTTTTAACCCTCTGAGCATTGAGGGCGTAGGGGGTTGCTGGCAGCAGCATAACAACGAGTTTCCTCTTAGTGGATAATTGGAAGAAAAGGAAGAAGACTGGAGGGGGGGAAGTTATTTCAGGAGAGGAAGGTGTTTTACCTCGATTTCCAGCCCCCGGGATTGTGTTATTCCACACAAACACACCTAATAGGAGCTGTTCGTATTAGGCCATAAGAAGCAAATGGAAAAAAAAAATTCAGGTTGGAAATGAATAAATCGAGCCTCGCGCTGGAAGCCCTGAAAGCACTAATTATTGAGAGCTGAACTTTCAATGGCTATGACAGATTGGTGCAGCCGTATCAATATTTAGACAACTTTCCTGCTAAGCAGGCATCTGTCACCGTCTGAGGGAGAGACGGGCACTTTCGGAGGAGCTCGTCTCCACACGGCAAAAAATATCTTCATGTGTGGTTATGTACAGAAAAATCCCCCCTAAAAAAACCCTACCTTCAGCTAGGGAGGATTGGAAGAGGAGCAGAAAGACAGACAGACCCTTCTTGTTTTCCTTTTCAGAAGCAGTAGGCATCAATTTCGACAGCAGAGTGGGTACAGTGCATTAAAATTTTATGTACTGTTCCTAATGCAAACTAAACTAGAGGCTTTAAAAATTGATGCTGCCACTTAAGCAGCACACAATGAGGAAGATTTGATTATTGTACTTAAAAGAAATAAAATAAAATGTCAAGTTTAACTAGAGTTGGAGCCATTCCCCTGGCATTATTCAAAGTGATGTGTGTAATGCCTCTTCAGAATACATAGCGTCCTGCTCAGAGATACTTCAGGAAAACACGACATTTAAAATCAAATGTCTTCATTAGGTTACAGAGTGCTTTTGATTCCCTTCACTAATCTGTGTTTTACATGGGAAGGACGTCCCTGAGTTGTAATTCTTCCTTGGTTAATCTATCAAGCAGCAGAGCTGAGAATAATCAGAATAATAGCTTAGATTTGTGCAACACTACCTTAAATCAAGCACAGAGGAGGTTTGCAGGCATCACTGGAGCTCAGAAATATCAAAGCTGAGCAGAACATTTGATACCATAAAGGCAGGGAGAGGAAACAGGGGGAAAGCCCAAATTAATTTTAAATCAAACGTGTCCATTTGGGTGAGAAGGTGCTGAAATACTTGAACTTCCAAACCAGAACTGCGCTCCACGCAGGGAGAGTGGAGACAAGAAATGGGCTCACTGCTCTTGTGTTATCACAAACCACAACCCAATTGCACAAGAAATGAGATTTTTCTTCTCTAATTTTCACTGGTTATAGTGAAGCCTTTCAACAGCATACATGCATATATACATATATATATATAAAATTATATACATAAGTTCTAGATGTGCCAGAAAGTCCCTTATACACCTTTGATCTTTGCCAGTACATCATCAGGCCCTTGTAAAACCCACCCAATGCATCCCTCATATATGATATACATTGTGTTTGGGCATAAATATGAAAGTACTGGTCAAAAGCTAATTTATTTAATTAATGAGAGCTACACACAACAGAGAAACAATACAATTGTTGCATACTGAATACCTGATTCATATTATATTAAAAAGTAATGGAATTGTTGACATAATTAAGTACTGAAACTAAGACTTCCCCTTGGTAAAAATTCTGTCCAGATAGGCTTCTCCTGCTGCTACATTAACTTAAAAAGGCCACTTCAATTTAAAAAAAAAAAAAAAAAAAAAAAAAAACAAAAAAAACCAACAATCAAGTAGCAAGCTGAGCCATTAAAAGAAGCAACATTGAGCCCACCAGCTTAACCCTCTCCCACTGATACAATAAATCACAAACTGTGTGTAATAAAGGTCACGAATGGGTTTTGCCTCTTGTTTTATGAATGTTCTATGCACATTTTAGCACATTTTAATACAAGAACATTGACTGTTTGCATTATTATATGTATTGAAAAAAAATTTAATTACCCGAGAACAGGAAAAGTAATAAGTTACCATGGAAGCATGACATACATACATAAGGTACATGTAAGTTCAGACTTATACAAAAGTTATTAAAAACATCCTCAAATCATTTCACCCTCTAATTTATAAATTCAAATGCTAAAAATAGTGTCCTTTTTTTTTTATTTTAATTAAAAAGTAAAGGCCCCTAAATATTGTTCACAGGTAGAGAAAGGGTTTGAGGGTTTTTTTCTTGTGGGGTAGAACTGCCCAAAATTAAAGAACATTAATGATGCCACTTTAATAAAGAAAATTAAAATATTTCACCAAAGGAAATTGCATTAAGAACATCCAGCAGTTTCCAGGTAAAAAATATATAAATTAAACTGCTCATTCTCATAAGGTGAGCAGAAATTTTATGAGCAATAAGCATATAAAAGTCTTGATTTACAACACATGCAAAGACCTACTTTAAACAAAAATAGTGCAGCTGTGGTTGCTGAATCTCCTGCAGGAAAAATTAACAGCAAAAAAAAATAGGAAACCTCCCCCAAAAATCTGTTTTGAACCCAGGCAAGCATTGCGCACGTAAAGAGAAAGTCTTTCTACACAAAGACCCTCTCTGAGCCACCAACAAAATAAACAACAAAATCAGACCCTCCCTACTTAAAATTTCCTTGGAGAGGCTCTTCCAGCATTTTGGGAAGCAAAGCTCACAAATGATGTGTTAATAAAGTCATCTTACCTGCACATGACTTCGTGGGTGAGCAACACCCTGCACATCTCGGGGTTCTTGTTCTGGCCTTCGTAAGTTATAGGCTACAAAAATCAAGAGAAGGGGTAAGCCAGAAGCATCAGGGGTTATTTATTTCTTAGAATATTCAGATGTGAGGGGAAGGGATTTTACCACTGCTCACCATCGCCTGCAAATAAACACCTTCCCCTTCATGTGCAGGGAAAAGAGCTTTACGTAAATGTTGCTACAAAGTGGACAAAAAACAACAGTCCACAGAGGGAAAAAAGACTTAAGAGCACAATTTTCAATTACTCTCCAAAATAGGTCTGCAATACAGCTGAGCAGGAGACCAAAGTGAAGCAGAGAAGGAAAAACATGCAAGGAAATGTCGAGCAAACAGGAAAGATGAGGTGGGACAGGACAGCATGGCACAGATCAGCCCTGCTCACCTGCTTGGTGACAGAATCAATGAGCCTCACATAGAGATCCTGTTCTGTCCTGACACCTAGATGGAGGGAGAACAGGGATAAATAACATTCCACAGGCATCTTGCCCTCAGAGCAGCAGAACAAACCCAGCTAGTGCCGCACCAGACACCCTCGGCACCCCAGGTAGTTCTGTTTCCCAAGCCCCTGTAAACTCCAGGGCCCATCCCTGCACTGAGGGATGCAGTTCCCTCAAGCAAGGGAATTTCGGGGTGTTTTGGAAAGCACAGCACCTACAGGCAGACCCTACCCCCAGGAGGTGCCAGGGAAGGGCACTCACCGTTGCTGTAGAGGAGCTGGAGCTTGTAGTGTGTGCCGTTGTTCGTCTTCTCGTTGCCTTGCTCCTGAAAGGGAATTTGAAAAAAAAAGAGGGGGGAAAAAAATCCTTCCAGAACTTACACTTGGCACATTTAAAATGCAAGAGCTGATAATCATGATGGAAGTGACAACAAAGTTGATTAAAATTCTAAGAGGTGAATCCACTGATTGGGATGTATTAACCTTCAGAGTGACCCAGGACAAACTACAAAATACTCCTGACATCTTTTCCTGTAGGAGTTCAAGAACTTATTTCCCTCTCTTATTTGCCATTATGCTCTCAACTTTTTCAAGGGAATACATTGAGAAGAATTTGTGCATTTCAAATCATTTAATATAAAGCAGATTGACACCAGGAAAACACAATGGCTTTTAATTTTACTGTGATCATTGCTTTTCAGCAGTGTTACTTTGAGTCAAAATTTATATTTATTTCCTGAAGGTTGTGTTACAGGGATGTTTCTTACATGGTAAGATAATTATTTATGACTCACAGTTCAAAAAATCTTGTTCGTGGCTAAGAAAATAATTGAAAAAATGCAAAGTGGTCAAGACATGGAATTAAAATCCAAAAGCAAGTGCTTTTCAAGTCCTGCCATTGACTTTGGAGCCTTAGGAAATACATATAACCACACTCAATGATAATCTGACATATTTACAGGTCAGATTGCACTTCTGCTTGGGTACTAATAAAACCTGGCAGATGTGGTAGGTAAAAAAAGCAAAGTGCATTTATCCCCCATGAATTTTATTTATTTTAGTTTTAGTGAGTGAATGAAATTGGTAATACAGAGCAGAGGATTCCAACCCTTTTAACTACAGCAGCGCACACAAGGTTACAGCTCTACCACAGCACCTGAGCCCTGACCAAACCACGGCTGTATTTTTTTAGGGACAACAAGTATTAGAAGCTGGCAGCTCAGCGGGGAGAGAAGATCAAAATTGGAGAGAAAAAGAGGAAGAAGAAGAGTAAGGAGCCTTACTTTATCATTTTCTACAAAGTCCACAAAAGCTGTCCTCTCTATTTCCACGGGCTGCCCCTGTCTGTCGTAGAGAGCCAGAACAAAGTGAAAGAAATTGGATTTCCTCAAGTTGGAGGGTGGCTGCTTTTCAAAGTGGGCTCTGGACAAAGCTACTCCGCTGTGGAGGAAACACACGGGATGGGGTGAGGGGGGAGAGACAAAGACATTACCAGGTTGTGCAGCAGTAATGGCAAAACAACAACAGAAGAGGCAGAGCACGGTCGGACTGTCCCTCGCCACCGCCGGGCTGCAGCCGGGCGGGACCGGGCGACGGCCGCTGCAACCCGAATTTCGGCGTGGCCCCGCTCCTGCACACCCCGAGGACAACGCTAATTTACAGAGAGGGGTTAGCGCTAAAGGCAGCCTGTGATTTCCTTCCTCCACTCATTTCCCTGCCTGTCACCGCTCCTTGCTGGAAGGCAGCAGGGTGGGAAGTGGCTGTAACGTGTCAGAGGGTCTGGAAGTGTTCTTTGCACAGCCTGGTCCCTTTTCCTGTAGGAGAAAACAAGCGACCCTAAAAAGCTTTCCTAGGGGCAGGATGTCAGCTCGGGGGCACCTCTGTTTTGGTCAGAGACAACGACTTTCGAGCAGAGCAGCCACTTCCCTCGGCAGCAAAGTTTGACTTTAGCCACTGACTTACTTGAACTGATTCCTGCGAATTGAGTCTCTGATTTAAACTGAAAGAATTTAGTCTCGGGTTAACCAGCCCTTGAGAAAACCTTGTGCCTGACTGCAGAAAACGTTGTGATGTTTCCCACGCATTTCCCGGCTTCGAAAGATTCAAGTGCTTCTGTTTACCCACGATATCCCTGACTGCAGCTTTATCTCTTTGTGAAATTCGTTGTAGTTCCCTCTCCCTAAAGCAAATTTCTACTTACTGAGAAGAAAATAGGTGCACGTGAGCACCTCCAAATTACTTAACAGACAGATTAAGTCTATGTGCCAGACTAGTTAGGAGTTAGGCAGCTTTGGTTTTAGTCCCCAGAATAGCTCCACAGCACTGGCAGAAGTATTTGACTCTTTCAGAGAACTACAGATGTTTCCCTGTGTTTTCCTTGCCAATGAGGTACGGTGTGAACTCACCACATCCGCCACAACTGCACCTAGCCTAGGGATTCCTCTCATTCTGCGTGTAAAAATTGGGATTTATTGGTTTGTTAGGAATACCTGGGAGGAAAACCTGGCGATGCCAGCAGGCAGCACAACGCGGCTGCACCTCTGCCGCTCCCGTGAATTGGAGCCTTGTCAGGAGCTGTTTCCTTTTACTTTCAGTTTCCTCGAGGATAAACCTCTTCCCCCTCAACCGTATTTATTAAACGCTCTATCGACATTCATAAAACTCTGATAACTCCTCCCATGGCGCTTGGAAAACCTTGCTGCCAGATCAGGCCGTGGGTGGGGGCATGGATGTACTATTTCTAAAACACCCGTTTCATCCGAAGTCCCCTCTGCTGTTTCATGCCTTTCACCTTTTCTCTAATACGAAATAAAATCCTGCTTACTCCTGGGGTTCCCAGTTTAGCCTTCCCCGACGCTACTACTTTCTTTTTTAACTTTTTTTTAAAGCTATCTAGAGAGCAAGGAAAAAAAATTACCCAAAGGAGTTTTCATCGTCTTATACCCCTAACGGGAAGAGACTGGGATAACTGTCCTGTGCCGACATGGCTGGGAAGAGAAAATAAAAAAGGGGACGTAACGGGTGATAACCCGCCCAAACAAGCAGAAAGCAAAGAGTCAGACCCCAATTTCGGGATGTTCAGAGCCATTTCAGCTCAGCAGAGACCTCTCGGACGCTCGGGCAGGTGCTCCAGGCGGGCAGACACGGGATGGCCGCAGGTTGCGGGATGCCCGCGGGGATCGGGGATGCCTGTGCCCTCCCCTGCTCCCTCAGACCCTGCTCTGCCTGCCCGGAAACCACGGGTGAAGATTTCGGCAATGCCCACCATGAATTAAGCAAAACAAGATGGGCCGGGGGAAGCTCGGATTTGACATCTGCATTTAAGTTAATTCTAACTTGGTCCCTTCTGTTCGGCTGTCTGGCCCAGCAAGCAGGGAGGAGTACCCTGGATTGCTGGGAACAACCAATCCAGAGCCCCACACATCTTCCTGGGGCAGAAAATAAAAGGATGATCCCATCTCTCTGTCATCTGAGCCCCGCACTGGGTTTTAGGACTCCTGATGCTCTCCGGTTTTGGAGCGCTGCTGCCTAGCTCTAGCACCAACCTTGACTTTTCGCTGACTGGAGGTGATCGGGAGGGGGACAGAGAGGACAAAAAAAATTTAATATCAAATATCAAACAACGGGTCATAATGGGGAGATTTCCTTAAAAAAAAAAAAAGAAAGAAAGAAAAAAAAAAAAAAAGCAGAGGGAAAGCGCCTTAAAAAAAAAAAAAGAAAGAAAGAAAAAAAAAAAAAGCAGAGGGAAAGCAGGGGAGAAATAGTCACGGTTACCTTTGTGCTGCTACGTTTGCATCCACAACCCCAACGTTTCTGACCCAGGACCTGACGGAATCCATCTCAGAACCTAGAGATTTATCTTTCAGAATTGGTCCTCTTCCTAAAGTATCTTGAATTCCAAACATTTAAAAAGTCTATGCCAACTAGCAACAGTTTCCTTTTGGGAGATAAGGGAGAAGGGAAAAAAAGAAAAACAAAACGACGCAGCCTTTGAATCTGACACACAAATCCCAGGAAAGTGAAGTTCAGCTTTAAAACCAACTTCTTCTGCTTTTTAACGCTGCGTGTTTTTAACGCCTTCAAACGGGGAAGAAAGTTTTTCCTCTTGCCAAGTAAAAGTTACGCTGATTCAGTCTCGCCTGGTATCACCATCCTTCTCCACACGCAGACGGGGGAGCCGCATCCAGAAAGCGATCGCCTCCAACGAGGATCACCTGTTCCTCAAACAGACAACGGGGAGAAGGATTGATCGCTGCCTAATCCAGGAAGAAGGAAGGAAGAAAGGAGGAAAAAAAAAAAAAAAAAACCAAAACCAAGCCAGCCCAGACGCGGGGTAAGTTGCGGGAGCGAGGCAGAGCCGAGCCGGGGAGCGGCCGGTCCCGCCCCGCGGCAGCGCCCGCCCTTCCCGCGCGCCGGCATCAATGGCTTACACGGCGGCCGGGGGCGGGGCCCGCGCCGCATAAGGAGCGCTCATTTGCATCTCGCGCCGCGATTGGTCGAGTAGCGAGGTCGCGCTCCGCCCCCCGCGCGGGGCTCCGGGGTGGAAGGAGCGCGCCCGGGCAGGGCCAGCGCGGGGCTGTCGCCACGGGGATGTCGCGACCGAGGCATGGGGATGGGTTATGGGGATGGGTTATGGCCACAGCCCGGCTGCCCCACACCGGGCGGTGCTGCCCCACACCGGGCGGTGCTGCCCCACACCGCACAAACTGCGCCAAAGCAGCGGGACCGGGGCGGGAGCAGCGCGCCCGCCGCTCGCCCCGGCACAGCTGGAGCACGGGCAGGGGAACCGCGAGTTTATCGTGACGGGTTTGTCGCCGTAGCCCGGCAGCTCCGCACCAAACGGTGCTGCCCCAGAGCACCAGTATAAACTGCACTAGAGCTGCGGGACTGGGCTGCAAGGAGCACGCCCGCCGCCAGCCGAAATCCGGGCACGGGAACGGCGGGTTTATCGTGATAGTTTATCGCGATGGGTTATGGCCGGCGACCGGCAGCCTCACACCGAGCGGTGCTGCCCCAGACCGCGCTGAAACCGTGCGGCCGGAGCGGGAGGAGCGCGCCCGTCCCGGGACGGAGCCCGGGCACGGCACTGGCGGGTCCATCGTGGTGTCCCGGCAGCCTCACCCCGACCTGCCCTGCCCCAGAGCAGCCAAACTGCGCTGAAAGCAGCGATCTCTGTCCATCTGACCGCGCTGCCATGCCACAGCCGCCGCACGGCAGCGGCCGCTTCGCTCTCAGGCGCGGGATTTAAAATGAAAAATTGCTCAGAGGGAGAGAAATGGGTCTGGGGGAGGGTGTAGGCAGAGGCTGCCTGCAGGGCAAGAGGCAGCCCAAGACTGCCAGGCACCCAGCAGACCCCAAAGTTACACCCTGAGAGCTGTCAGGTCTCACCTTAAAACTTTTTATAACATCCCATGTAGGCAACATTTCCCATTAAAGGAAACCGGAGCTCTTCCCAGCCCGGCCCGCGGTGACCCGGGACCGTATCTATGTCTGCATTTATTTTAGTTTATTTTTTAAGTCTGCTCTGCCTTGGCGATATTTTCCTCCTGGCCCTTTTGTATTCTGATCTGTGTATAGATCTGCCTCTGAAATCTATATAACACCAACGCGAAAACAGATTTCAAGACAATGAATGCAAATCTGTGCTCAGAGACCATCTGCCAGATGAGGGAATCAGATGTTCGGTAGTTAAAGGCACAGCGCAAGGATTCAAGGATTTCCTTGACTCATTATGTGCAGCTCCTCTCTTTAACCTGCTTGATTTTTTTTTTTTAAACGGGATCGAACTGTGATTTCCATTTCCGAATAAATCGGAACTCCTTCCATCCACGTTCAACCGCGATTCAAAATGCCACCTATTAAATGCAAGATTATTTTCACGGAGTTTTATACAGTTCTCTCCAAAAAGAATCTCAAATTAAAATCTTCCCATGAAACTTTCATTAAAATGTATCCTTAATTCAGGCACGATTGAGGGCAAAGCCGGGACTCAGATTTATTCTGTCTACATAAGTGACAGACATGGTATTGGATGAACTAATACATCTCACCCAATCTTTGTTCAAGGAAATTCGCCATGATAACCCACCTCCCCAAATTGATAAATATGCAGGAAATGATTTTGCCAGGTTAGCAAAAGGCGAGGCTGGCGTTATTTTAACATTAGAGAAAAGCAACAGCAGTTTGACGGAGCTAGAGGGTGGAGGCTAATCTTTCAAGATACTATCTTAGCATCTCTGAGCCGCAATTTCTCTCTATTAAAAAGCCCAAACAGGGCAAGATATTTTTAAAAAATACTTTTAAAAAGTGAAAAACCTGAGCATGCAAGATAAATATATAGGCGATGGTAAGGCATATTATAGTGGGGCTTTTTTTTACCATTTCGCAATAGGCGTAGGTACATTTCCTCGAATAAAAGCCCCCTGTTTGTACTAAGATAATTTCTGGCAGTACCGTTCCTACGTTTGTTCCTAAACCCTGGGCAGGGGCGGAAGGGGAGGGGGCGGAATTGAGGAATTCCCTCTCGCTGCAGCCTCGGCCGATGCGTTCACAAGGAGAGAACGCTCCCTGATAAACCCGAGCCCATCTCCCCTGGAGATAAAGCCGAGCCTATCCCCGCAAGGTCGGGTCCAGCCCAGCCACTCTCCCAGCCCCCGGCCGGCCGCTGCAGCCCCGCCTGGCCCCCGAACAAAGGGGACTCGTGTGCCGTGGCCTCGGGGGACCCCCGCTTTTAGGGATTCGTGGCGGGTCAGAGGCCACCACCGCAGGTCAGGGGAGAAGCCCTCCCTTCGCCCCAAGCAGCTGCCACCAGAATTTGGCACTCGAGGCACAGATGCAGGGAGCATCGTCCCCTCCTGGCCCCGCGGGAGATGTGGCCCTGGGGTGCCCCCTCCCCAGGACCGCGGGGGGCTCGGGGAATGGCTCCGGGAAGGGGAAGCGCTTTCGGGGACAGAATTTGGTCCCCCACCCAACCAAGTTTCTCGCCTTTAAGATACGCTGCAAAAGCACAGGAGTCCTTGAATACTTCTGAAATTATAGACTCCTGATCTAGATTACCCATTTCAAGCCCAAACTGTATTTAAACCAAGTGAAAAGCCCATCGTTCAGACTCTTCTGATGCAAATTTACTCAGGGGAAAACAAAAACAAAAAGACAACAACAACATAAAGCCACCGGTGTTTATACCCGTGCTACCGCCGATAAATCTGGATTTGCACTTTGGAGGTTTCCGCAGTTCGGCTCGGGGAATCGGATCCACCGGCAGGTAAAGGGCACCGCGGAACTCCGGGAGGGAAAACAACCCCAAAACAACCCTCCAGAGCCCGGAAAGCGAGGGGAGCGTCCGGCGGAGCATCTGCCGCGCCGTAAATACAATTACAGACACAAACGGGAGCCGAAGGTTTGGGAAGGGGTTCCGAGCCAAGAGGCGCCGGGAGCGGCTCCGACCCCGCGGTTCTCCAGGCGGAGGGAGGGGAAGGGCGTCGGGCCGGGCACCCCCCGCATCCCCCGGGCTCGGGGGTCCCTCCCGGCCGCCCCCGAATCCCCACAGCTTTCCATCCAGCGGCTTTCATTCAGCGAATCGCTTCGAGCGATTTTCTTCCTCGGACTAAAAGAGAAAGCGTGGGGCGGGGGCGGGGGTGAGAGGGTGGAAAGCAACTGGTTCGGTGAGTGCTGATCATTTCCTTCTGGAGGAAGAGTTATTCCCCTCCAGATTGCCGCACTCGTTTCCACATGCGGGGGTCAAAATGACAGGTGAGGCAGATTTGACGTGGTAAAGAGAGATGCTCGTCTTTGTTAGCAGGTTTTTAGCAGCGTCGTTTCATACACCGGAGTCAACTTTCACTCCTCGGCACATCTCAGCAACTCCCAGCAGGAAGATGGATGGATGGAAGACAATATTTAACCCGTTTAAAAGCATAACCTTCAACTACTATTGTTTCCTCTCACGTTTAAGGGGAGAATGTCAGGGGAAAAAATGAAAAAAATTAAATTAATCCTAAAGATGACACTTGGAAGGAAACATTTAATTCTTGTTCCTATTCATTTGTGAGAATTCACCAACTTTCAGGTGCCTCTAGGGAACGAATTGTAGGTTAAAATTTTGAGTGTCAGAACGGAGAAGGACAACTAATATGTTTCCCTCTTTATCCACTAATCTCACTGGAAGGTTCATTTTTCCAGTACACCTGTACCAGAAAAATAAATGTGCCTTTTAGAAATATTTTCGTAAGCTGGTAACAGCTTCAAGTTCTGAGTCATGCGTTCAAGCACACATCGATTGCACTTTTGGCACTATAGTAACGGTATTTAGCAAACAAAGAAGTCCCCAAAAATAACTTGCAAGTGCCGAACATCAGCATAAACAAAATATTTACTTGCATGGGATAGCTTGCAGCTTGCGATAGAAACGTGTCCACAAAAACCAGGAGCAGGCTGAGTCCTAACCTGTGGAATGAGGAGTGTGAGGAGGGCAGTCAAAGCACTGTGTACAGAACCAGACTAGAAAACTGCTCCAAATTATGCAAGACCACTCTGGATTTACAAAACTCTCCATTTAACTAAAATAAAAACATACAAAATGAAAAAAAAATGCTTCTTAACAGGGGAGGTTTAAAGTAGTTCAGGCAAGTGCAACTAAATCCTGAAAGCAACTTGAGTTCTTAACTGTGAAAACTGCAAAACAGGGTCTAAAGTGTTGCAGTGCTTCCTGTTATATTTATCATAAACCTGGTTTTATACCAGGTTTAAATCAACACATTTCTCAGAAGAGAGCTCTCCATCTGTTTGCTAGAAAAGTTGAACCCCCAAGTATAAAACAATAGATCCTCATCACAGCCTGCCCACACCATCAGTAAATAAGCAGAAACACTGGTTTATAGCTGTAAAGCTGTGAACCCTCCCTGGTCTCTGCCTCTTTCTCTCCCCCTTCCCTCTGGCACCATAAAGGCACTATTTACTGGAGGCAGCTCTCTGCACTCATCAGCCCTCACAAACTGCCAGTTGCAGAGATTTCACCAATCATATTTATAAGCAGTGAACAAAGGAATGCTTTCAAACTTACAAATGCATAAGCAAACATTTAATAACGTCTTCCCCACCTCATCTTTCCCAAAAGAGAGAAAATATTGTATCCATCAGATCCACTTCTGAGTATCCTGTTCATTCCAATAAGTAGGTGTTTTTCTTTTCACTAGAACAGAAAAACACATCTGCTACATTTTATATCCAACTCTTTTTTTATTTTAAAAGATACTTTTACTGCTTTTTGCCTAGCATAGCTTTTGGAACACGTTAGCAAATAATATTTT